GATGCTACGACGCCCGCATCAGAGTGCTGATCACCCACGTCACCTGCCTCCTCGCCGTCAGCGTCGACCTGCTGGAGATGTACGAGGAGTCGGTCCTGGAGTATCTCACCATGGAGCAGAACCCCGTGACGGAGTGAGTTTTGGGCGGTTTTCTTTTTCTTTTCTTTTCTTTTCTTTTTTATGCTTTCTTTCTTTCTTTTTCTTTTGGAGGGGTTTTAGTTTTTTCGGGATTTTTTTTTTTTTGCGGGATTTTGAGGGTTTTTTGGTGGGATTTTTTTCTCTTTTTTTGGGGGGGGAGGGGGATAGATGTTTTTGTTAAGTGTAAGGGAGCATGCCTGTTGTTATCTACTCTATTATCAATTCTTTGAATAACTGAATTATATATATTTTTCAAGCTTGAGTATATAATTAGTGAGTATATAATTAGTAATTAGCATATATTAGTATACAATTAGCACACAAAAAAACAGTAGCAATACCCCAATACCATTATACCAACACCCCCCCCCCCCCATTTCCTTCAAGAGAGGAGGAGCGCGAGATGTCGAAGCGGAAGCGATACCAGAAGATCAAGCGCTACACAGCCGTCGGCCTCGCTACCCTGGGCGGGGGCGCTATCCTGGGGCTCACGGGGGGGTTGGCGGCCCCCCTCATCGGCGCTGGACTCGGGACTATCATTGGGGCGGGTAGGTAAGGGGGGTAGGGGTAGGGGGTAGGGAGGAGGAGAGGGGTTGGGGGAGGAGAGGGGTTGGGTGGGGGGAGGGTAGAGGGTGGAGGGTCAGAGAGGTAATGGTGATTATAGGAGTAACTGTTGTTGTTGTTGTTGTTTGTTATTTTCTGTGTTGCTTGTTTGTGTGTGTGCGTGTGCATTTGTGCGTGTGTGTGTGTGTGTGTGTGTGTATGTCTGTGTGTGTGTGTGTGTGTGTGTGTGTGTGTGTGTGTGTGGATGCGTGTATGTGTGGATACGTGTACATGCGTGTGTGTGTGTGTGTGTTTGTATTTGTGTTTATATGTGTGAGTGCGAGTATAATGTCTAATGATAATACTACTCCTGCAACTTATCCCCCCCCCCCACACTTGCAGGAGGCGCGGCGGCGTTGTCCTCGACGGCGGGCGTGGCTGTGGTGGGCTCCATGTTCGGCGTGGCTGGAGCTGGGCTCACGGGTAGGTCTCCGTTTGGAATTTGGCTTTGATTAATGCTGTTTTTTTCGTTTTGCTGTTGAGTATTTTTTTTCTTATTTCCTTTTCTTTTTTTTCTGATTATCTTTATACTTCTCCTCCTTGTCCTACTTTCCTTCTTCCTTCTTCTTTTTTTCTTCTTCTTCTTCTTCTTCTTTTTCTTTTTCTTTTTCTTTTTCTCCTTCTTCTTCTTCTTCTTCTTCTTCTTTTCCTTCTTCTTCGTCTTCTTCTTCTTTTCTTCTTCTTCTTCTTCTTCTTCTTCTTCTTCTTCTTCTTCTTCTTTTTGTGCTTCTCTTCTTGTTTCTCTTACTCCTCCTCCTCCTCCTCCCCGTTTTCTCCTCCTTTTCCTTGTCCTGCTCCTGCTTTCCACCTCTTTCTCTTTCTCCTTTTCTTCCTGTTCAATCTGTTTTGTTTTTCTGCTTGATTTTTCTTCCTCCTAATATCAATATTGTACGTATTATACATTTCATTAATAATTTTAAAAAGTTGTTTATCCCTTTCCGTTTTATGTATATGAAGTAGGAGAATAGATATCGGGATACTCGTAGGAGAGAAAAATGGAGAAAAAAAAAATTGTATTAATGAAATGGGGATATTAGAAAATTCATTTATATTAGTCCCTCACTCACGTTCTCCCTTCCTGCAAATGTCAACACGCCTTCAATACGCCCGCGCGCCCTTACCCACGCAACGCTGCCCTCGCTCGCACTCATGTCCACACACCTCGCCCACACGAAATCCCCTTTTCCCTTCACTTATCCACCCACTTATCCACCCACTTATCCACCCACTTATCCACCCACTTATCCACCCACTTATCCACCCACTTATCCACCCACTTATCCACCCACTTATCCACCCACTTATCCACCCACTTATCCACCCACTTATCCACCCACTTATCCACCCACTTATCCACCCACTTATCCACCCACTTATCCACCCACTTATCCACCCACTTATCCACCCACTTATCCACCCACTTATCCACCCACTTATCCACCCACTTATCCACCCACTTATCCACCCACTTATCCACCCACTTATCCACCCACTTATCCACCCACTTATCCACCCACTTATCCACCCACCCGTCCACCCTTCCACCCATCCACCCTTCCACCCATCCACCCACTTATCCACCCACCCGTCCACCCTTCCACCCATCCACCCACTTATCCACCCACTTATCCACCCACTTATCCACCCACTTATCCACCCACTTATCCACCCACCCGTCCACCCACTTATCCACCCACTTATCCACCCACTTATCCACCCACCCGTCCACCCACTTATCCACCCACTTATCCACCCACTTATCCACCCACTTATCCACCCACTTATCCACCCACTTATCCACCCACCCGTCCACCCACTTATCCACCCACTTATCCACCCACTTATCCACCCACTTATCCACCCACTTATCCACCCACTTATCCACCCACCCGTCCACCCTTCCACCCATCCACCCTTCCACCCATCCACCCACCCGTCCACCCACTTATCCACCCACTTATCCACCCACTTATCCACCCACTTATCCACCCACTTATCCACCCACTTATCCACCCACTTATCCACCCACTTATCCACCCACCCTTCCACCCATCCACCCACCCGTCCACCCTTCCACCCATCCACCCACCCGTCCACCCTTCCACCCATCCACCCACCCGTCCACCCTTCCACCCATCCACCCTTCCACCCATCCACCCACCCGTCCACCCACTTATCCACCTTTCCATACCCTGGCACCCTGTTCATCTATCTATCCTTCAATATCCATCTATCCATCTGTCCACCATCCATCTACACTCTTCCTCACCCACACTTCCACACCCATTCACCCTACCCACCCTATCCACCCATCCACGAATCCATCCCTCCTTCCACTCACCCTTCCACCCATTCACCTATCCACCCACTTATCCACCCATCCGTCCACCCACTTATCCATCCACCCTTCCACCCATCCACCCTTCCACCCATCCACCCACTTATCCACCCTTCCACCCATCCACCCACTTATCCACCCACTTATCCACCCTTCCACCATTCCACCCGTCCACCCACTTATCCACCCACCCGTCCACCCACCAGGCTTCAAGATGCAGAAGCGGATCGGCGAGGTGGAGGAATTCGCCTTCGACTACCTCACCGACGGAAGCCACCTGCACATCACCATCGCGATCTCCGGCTGGCTCACCAAGGAAGGCATAGCGGAGTTCAGTCTGCCGTGGAGGACGCTGTATAATTCGAGGGAGCAGGTGAGGTCCGAGGTGGGGATAGGGGGGTGATGGGGGGATGGGGGAGGAGGATGGGGTGGGAGAGGTAGGGGGTTGGTGGGGAGGGGTAGGGGGTTGGTGGGCAGGGGTTGGGGGTTGGTGGGGGAGGGATAGGGAAGGTGTGTGTGGGAGGGTTGAGGGAAGGGAAGGGGAGGGTAGAGGGAACGAGAGTTTGAGAGAGAGAGACATAAACTATAAATGAAGATGATACATATAGTTGTTTTTTTTGTTTTTTGTTTTTAAGCAGATGAAAGGAAAGAAATAACCTCCTTTGTGCACGAGAATCTGCCATGCTGTTTCAGTCAGGTAGCCTTCAGCCTAGAATCTCCCTTGCTTGCATTTAAACTTTTAAGAGCTCAACCAAAAGATGCCTCACTCAGCTTCACGCATCTAACAAAGACACTAACCTCAGTTTGTGTGATTTTCAGTACACACTTCGCTACGAGTCCCAGTACCTGCTGGAGTTGGGCCAGGCCATGGACTACCTCCTCCAGTTCGCTCTTTCCATGGCAGTTCAGGAGACTCTTAAGTACACTATCCTTGCTGGTAAGTTGTGGTTCAGTTGTCGAAGAAAAGTGGTGTTCGTGTTTTGCTTCCCCTTGAGTTAGGATTTTGAGAAAGCATGGAGGAACAAATGAGGCTGTTTGAGTTTGTTGAAGAGTACTACATTAGATGAGATACGAGTGCGTTATAAAAAGGTCATTCACCTAATAAATACCTACGACAAAGTCAATTATTCTGATTGTACACTGTTTTGAGTCAATAATTGATACTGTCTTTCTTTCAGGTATTATTTCAGCAATCACATGGCCTGCGTCCCTCCTCACTCTTGCCTCAGTGATCGACAACCCTTGGGGAGTCTGCTGCAGGAGATCAGCGGAAGTGGGGCGTCAGCTGGCAGAAGTCCTTGTCCAGAGACAGCATGGCAAACGCCCCGTGACCCTTATAGGCTTCTCTCTCGGGGCGAGGGTCATCTATTACTGTCTTCTGGTAAGATAAATGCTGTTGTAGTACGTTGTTCAGGATTTTTATTTTTCATCATTATTATTTTTAGAGCTGGATGTTTTTTTTTCCAAGGCGTAATCACACACTTGAAGTTAAATGATTATTGATTCCATTTCTACTATTAGGTAGAGGTTATTTCCCAACCAGTTAAAGGTTAATGCTTATCAACAGGAATTAAGCCGGCGAAAAGGGAGTGCGGGAATCATACAAGACGCCATATTCTTGGGAGCTCCCGTGCCTGGCTACAGCTCTGACTGGAAAGAATTTCGTTAGTATACTATGTTTTTTTATAGCATAATCTCTTGGAATAGGAAACAATACTATTATAAAGCTGCAGACAGTATCTATTACTGAGCATTACCATTTAATAATAATAATAAAAAACTGTTGAAATCTTTGAACTCGTAAAGCAAACTACTCTTATAGCTACATCACATTATAAATCCCAAATAAAGAGACCATTCCCCCCATCAAATTAACACAAAACACCACAAAGAAAAGAAAAAAAAGGAAAAAAATACCCAACAGACTTTGAAATATAAACAATCCATCATGGTAGAAACTCTAATCGAAGACAAACCCACACAGGCAACATCGTATCTGGACGAATCATCAACGGGTACTGCCAAGGAGACTGGCTGCTGAGGTTTCTGTATCGTTCCTCGACCGGCACCATGAAGATCGCTGGCCTGATGCCCATCGACTGGCAGGATCGCAGGATGTTCAACTTCGACCTTTCTGATATTGTTACTGGTTGGTGTTTTTAGTTTATTTGTTTATGTTTTTTTTTTTTTTTTTTTTTTGGGGGGGGAGGGAGCTGTGTGTGTGTGTGTGTGTGTGTGTGTGTGTGTGTGCGTGCGTGCGTGCGTGCGTGCGTGCGTGCGTGTGTGTGTGTGTGTGTGTGTGTGTGTGTGTGTGTGTGTATCTGTGTAGTATTTGTATTTGTATATGTGTATTTATTTGTGTATGTTTGGGCTTGTGTATGTGTGTGCTTCTGGTGTTTTTGTTCTTCATGCATTGTAAACTTATATTGTTTTTTAGTGTTTTTAGATATTCATCTCCAAATATCCTGTCACTGCCCATTATTACACAGTATTATTGTTTTGTTATTGTCTCCTTTTTGCTTATTTTTATCATATAATACCTGAGTGCTGTATAGTCATCATCTTGCTCATCCTCTGTATGAAGAGTGACTTTTACCTATAATATTGATTTTCCATGGTATCTTTAACATTTACCTTTCTTGATTTATGTTCTTATTTCATATTGATTTCTAATATCAAAGCCATGTGAATCCATATTCAGAGTGTGCTGATGTCAACAGGTCATATGGATTATGCCAAGAAGATGGATGTGATTCTACGGTTGTTGGGAATCCGCACGCGTGACCCCATGACCGACAATGATCCCAGAGTCAAGAAGAGTGCGTCAGATTATCCAGGGTTTATGTCTATGCATGGAAAAATGGTAGGTAATAGTATATATTGTGCTTTGTGTTCGATCTTTGATGTGTTTAAGAAACTGGATCCTGTTCTTTAAATTGCTGAAGATGGCAGTGTTTGCTGAACAAAATTTTGATTGAAGTTTATAATTTTGTCTAATTATAAGTCGCATAGTATGTCTGCCAAAAGTAATCATCTTAACCATCCTTTTTTTCACATGGTTTGTTGGCAGGGATATTATTCATGCATGCTACATCTTTTACAATAAGATAATATTAAATCAACTCTAAACAATTGGTATATCTTTCTCTTGTCATACAGGAGTCTTCAGGTCTTCGTCCCTCAAGTTCTGACAGCAGGTTGCTCTGTGGCCGAGACGCTCCCCTCGCAAGGGCCTACTCCTCAGACGACCTCCTTCTCCCCAGGACTGCCTCCTCTCAGCTCAGCAAGTCAAGTGCTGAGGACCTCTCTACCCTCAGGACATTCTCCTCCACAGACCTCAGCAGTAGAGACTTTTCCTCGAGCGGCGACATTGGCTCTCCCAAGCCCTTTGTCCGGGAATTGCCCAGGGGCAGGACTCTCTCATCAAGCAACCTCCTGCTTGGCAACAGGCTCTCCTCTTCCTCCTCCTCCTCAAGCGATCAGGTTCTCGGGGACGACAAAATGCAGCCGAGGTCTAAAAGCTCTTACTTCTCCGACATGTTCTCAAGGAAGCCACCCTCTGCAAGCCCCAAAGAACAGAAACAGACTCTTGCTCAGGATATGTTTAAGAGAAGGACTGTCTCATCCGGCAATCTCTTCCCAGTCAAAGGTGGTCTGTCTAATCGAGAATTCCAACGATCAAATTCTCAGGAACAGTCCAAACAATCCCTGTTTCAGCTATTTTCGAAAAAACAAGAACGTATTGAGGAAGATAGCCCATGATTCAGTATATGTGTGTACATACCATGCATTTATACTTTCATAACTTTACATTTATTTCCAGTTTTTCTGTCATACTTTGTCATGTTTTATTTTTTATTATTTCCAAAACTTAAATGTTCCTTTTTTCAACAAATATTAGGGAATGTGTGTTAGGAATTAAAAATAATACCAGTCACATAATATCTTCTCACTTCACATGAACAATTTTCTTGCATAATATATCCACTGAAAGAATCAAATGTACCATTTTATTTCTCTCAAATTGTTTTACTTGAAATTAAGAAATTATTATGAGATGATAGATGTTGATAGTGGCAAAATTGTGATAACATCAGTGATTTTCATTATTCTTGATGAAATATATATATTTTTTAACTTTTGTGTATTATCATTTTTACTTTTTGATGTTTCTGTTTGAGTTATTTTGTGGTTTTGCTTTTGAAAAAAATATTGTTTCAATTATTGTTGTGGCATTTGATTTTAGATTATTTTATATAGTTTAAAGGATATAATGGTTATTTTGAATGTACATTTTTTTCTTTTGTAATTTTTTTTTCTTATATGAATTATGCATAGCTCTGTATGATCATTGAAAACAGGAAATCAGAGAATAAAAGAAAATATGAGAAGAGAGACAGAAAGAAGTTGAATAAAACTGATCAAGTATTATTAATAAGACAGTAGTTTTGATTATGGTATGATCAGTTTTAGTATTAGTCCCATGGTGACTCCCCCATAGGTGTCAAAGGTGTTAGAAAAGGGAAATTACCTGAGAAACACTTGAAATAAGTGTATGGGATTGTCTGGCATGTAGCTTAATACACACCAGTCATCTAGAGCGTTGATGATATAGCCATGATTGTTACAAGTTCATTTCCAATGATCCAATACAATAGTTTCAACTACTCACACTTTTTATGATCAACAATGACTGAATCACAGTAGGAAAAAGGGCTTAATTATAGCATGACACAGGATAAGATGCATGTTCCTACTGAAGGACAAACCATGCACAATTTTCAAGCTGTGGAAAGTGATTATGCATACTGTTTGAAGGGAATGGCAAAACTGCCAAATCATGTTTTGTATGAATATCTATTCTCATATACTAGAATTTACATAATAGTTCTCTGGTTGTAACCTGTTTATTATTTTTTTAGGGAAACAAGAGCCCATGTTAATATGAAAAAAGATGGCTTGTACATACAAAATAACATCAATTTATTTATTTACCTAGTGAACAATCATACATATATATGACACAAAATATATGTATCAAAAATGAAAAAAGGTTAAAAAAAAGGATATAATGAATATACTGCTATATTTTTAAGTGCTTCACCTGCTGTTTTACAATGAGAACTCACAGAGTATTGAGCATTTCCTATACTATATCAACAGGATATGTTTGGTATATGAATTCCATATCTAACAGCCTTTCAGAACCCCCACAAATGATATTATAGATGCTTAACTAGCTTCTGTAGTTCCTATGCATTATATATACAGTATATATATACATATAAAATAATAAACGTCCACTAGACACTAATGTCGAGGCCTATGCTCACAGCACATTTAAAATTTGTTGATTATTTCCCTCCTTTTGTTTTATCCCCTTTTCTTTCATCATCGTCCACAATGCTGCTGTCAGGGAACTTGTGATATGTAGCAGTTGCAAAGGCGCTACAACTCCGTGCCAATGGATGTTTTTCCTTAGTGTCATTTAATGTTCGAAGGTTAAGAGAAGAGTTGTTGGTTTTATTCTCTCTCTATTGAAATGTGATACGGGAAGAGTATAGCAAGTTAATGTGTGCTGTTATTAAGTTGCTGTTGCGTATCTTTTGTAAGGTCGTTTTACTTTCTTTGTAACGTGTGGTTTGTTTGTTAACTGATATGAATGGAGTTTACAGTCTATGTTTCTTGTAAGTAGCTACTTAGAGAGTGATGTAAAGAAAGTAATCAAATTTGATTTGTCTTTTTCTTAAGAATGACACTGAATTGTGATCTTAAGCACAATAAGCCCTTAGCATTATGCAGGTGTATCAACTTTTATCCTTAACTAAAGATGCAATGTTACATTCATCTGCTACTTAATTTGTAATGTAAAGGATGTACACATATTATATTATTGAATCCATGAAATAATTATTTTTGTGGCTTTGTAATGCACTAGTTAGTAAGAACAATAGTATATGATTTGGGTTGATTTAATTGTCTTTTGATATAATTTCTGCACCAGGTTTTATAATCTGTAAGCCACCATGTTTGTATTTAGCAAAAACCACATTTCATAATATAAGAAAAGTCGAAAAGCATACAACCATCGGGTTTTCAGTCAGGTTTCGAGTGCGAAATACAAACTAATGATGGCTTGCAATAAAACCGTCAAAAAGAGCAGGTTGACATGCTGTCTTGTGAAGAATGGGACTGCTAAAGAAGTTGTCCTATTATTCTGCTCTGTACCCATTAGGAAGGAAAGCATGTGCGAAAAGCATACAACTGTACGCATAGTGTAGCATCTACATTTCATAGGAGTAGAGAGCTATAGTGTGTGCATCTGTTATCAGTTCAGGATACAGTACCTTGCAGGTGTGTGAGTATATGTTTGTGTGTGACTATTACTTATGGTCTATTTACTTTGCAAATATACGGTACATATGTCGGGGAACTTCCCCTATTCCATGGTGTAAAACTGCTTAAAATTGTTAATCCTTTTAAAAGTTCACTGATTGTTTTCATGTTATATATATTTTAGGCTTCCATTCAAGTGAAAATATGTATATAGGAATAAATGTTACTAAAAATACTGTTATATATGAAGATAAAGAGAACATGTTTTATGAGACTATTATATAGTATAAAAGTTTGTATTCAGATTATTTGCTTTATATATAAAATCTATTTTGCCTATGGATATAGATCTAGCAACTTTTACATTTAAGGGTCACCATAGATACCCTACAAGTCCATGTATACATAACTCCCGCAACATTGTATAATGTAAGATAGAGCATACAGCAGTAGTTAGTGTCGAACACATATCACTGTATATTGAGCACATCATATCAAAACCTCAGACTCTCTGCTACCTGTACCTTAAGAAACATGAAAGTCGTTGTGGAAAGAGAAGGAGTGTCTTTTGAGTTGACCAAACCAAAGTGGCTTGACAACTGGCAACAAAAATGATGATAAAGGGAATATCTATATATATATTATCTTAAGTGTATAATGAAGATTTGCAGAATTAATTACAAAGGAGCACAGGTATTGAGGGTTACTGTGTAGCATAATAGATCTAATAGAAAAAGCCTTGTTCTTCACAATGTTTCTTGGTGTGATGTTATTGGGATGCACCGAGTGTTGTATATGTGTCATGCACATACTGTAGATAAGATCTGCACTATTATCATGTAAATGTACAAAAAATAGGAAAAAAAAGTTGCTTAAAGTTGCTTCATGTGAATATTTAGTTTTCTATTTGATGGCATCATCAGGAATTCTTTTTCATAATCCTTTGACTAGATAAATCTTGCATTCAGTAAGTCGTATTGAAAATGACATTTATTTTTTTTCTCTCTCTGCTTGAGTTTGCTATGGCATTACCAAGTCAGAGCATGCTATGATACGAACTGAAACTAAAGTAGTTTGTTTTTTGCCATAGAAGCCATAGTTTTACCTTTTCCATTTTATATTAGTTTGGTTAGCAGAGCCAAGAAAATGCTAAGGATCTTTTTGAATCAACATTCATATCACTTAGAGCCTTAAACTTGTCTTGAAATGCTTTTTCTTAAGAGAAACTGTAATTATAAACTGTATTTTAATATTTGCTTCTTTTTAAGGGACTTCCATATCATGCTATATTTTAAATTTTCACAGTTTTTTAAATACTTAACTTTTTTATTCTCAGTGCGACTGTTAGAAGAGTCATTACTGGGTATGTTTTATTCTCTCAAATATGAAATATTTGTCAGAGATGTATTTTGATTTATGCACATAATAGCCATTGTTTCTTAATTAGTGTAATCCCAGAGATATTTTATTTTAGAGCAGATTAACACTGCATAATCCATTGAAATTATCAGTAAAGTTGTGATAACCAGCGTTTAAAAACAAAAAAAACGTTACTTCAGATTTATCCTTAAAGTGTAACCTTTTTTTTTTTTCTTTTTTTTTTTTTTTTTTTTTTTTTGATCAAAGATTGTGAATGTGTATATCTTTATTGTTTGATGAAAAAAAAAAACAATTATGGTCAGCAGACACACACTGATAAAACCAGAAGAGAGATTTTTATAGGAAATTAATATAATTAGGCTGGAAATGCTATATATTTTATTATTGGCAGTTTTGCTACATTGTACTCTTTTATTTAATTTTTGAGTTCAATAAAATATACCTAAATATGATGTTTTCCTATTCAACCTGCTTGACTTGAGCTAAACTTGAGCTGAAAATTATGATATTCATTTAGATAAAAATATTGTTGTTATTAGTCTATCTAAACCAGGGGTTCTCGATCCTGGGTACATGAAACCTTTTGGTTCACAGAAAGGTTTAATGAGGACCTCATGGCTGATGAAAAAGTGCTTTATAGATGTGTATCCTGAGTGAGAGAGAGACAGAGACAGAGTGAGTGAGTGTGTGAAAAAGTGAGTGAGTTAGTGCTCATGTGTGTAAAAAATGGAATCTAAAAAAATACAGATGTGCCAGACCATTATATAAACCCAGTAACACTGCACCTAATAGATGCTGCAAATACCAAAGAAATAATATTAACATAAAAGTAACACCATAAAACATTACCAAAAACGAGTAGCTTCTGCCTGATAAAGTCATCATTATCTAAATCATCTAAATCATCTGACAATATCCACTGCAGTGCAATTTACATACTGAATTGATTTAAAGCAATACCATTTTACAATCGGTGCCTGGATAAGGGGGTACGGATAGATGGCCTTTTTACTCCGGGGGTACTTAATGGAAAAAAAAAGATTGAGGACCCTAATCAAAAGCAAAGCATTATCGTGAATGAAAGTATGAGAGCTTTGTGGAGTCAGTGCCAAGACTTATTGCCAGTCATTAAATGCATCAAGAGATAGATTAATGGATAGGCAGAAAGATATAATCATTAAAAAAAAAACACATGCATACACAAATACGAACACACACATACATACATATACCTACATATATGTGTATACACACACACATGTGTGTGTGTGTGTGTGTGTGTGTGTGTGTGTGTGTGTGTGTGTGTGTGTGTGTGTGTGTGTGTGTGTGTGTGTGTGTGTGTGTGTGTGTGTGTGTGTGTGTGTGTGTGTGTGTGTGTGTGTGTGTGTACACTTACACATTACATGTGCGCATCTATAAGATGAAAAAGGCTTCGTGAGTCAACCCCAAGGAAAAATCTGACCAGCAGGAATCCCTGAGGCACTTCGTTGTTGCTTGCGATCTCGTTTTTGCATCTCCTGCGACGCGGCTGGTGCCAAACGTATCGGTCTTTGAAGTTCCTTATGGATCCCATCAGCTGCGAGGAGAGAGGGAGCCTGCTGCAGGGCCAACAGCTTGCTTCTCATATTCTTCCGCCCAGGCATTGACGTTACAGGAATGGGTAGAGACAATAATGCCATAGTCGACAGTCGACACACACACACACACACACACACACACACACACACACACACACACACACACACACACACACACACACACACATATATATATATATATATATATATATATATATATATATATATATATATATATATATATATATATTCACATATACATATACAGTGATTACCTGGACAATTGCTCTCCTGGGGAAGGATCACTCCAATGTAAAGACCCAGTCAACTGCATAATGTTAACATGTCGCCAAGTAATTCGTCAAACACCGCATAGGTGATGGCACGAATATGATTTATATATATATGTATGTATATATATATTTATATATATATATATATATATATATATATATATACATATATATATATATATATATATATATATATATATATATATATATATATATATATATATATTGTATATTATATATATATATTGTATATATTATATATATATATATTGTACATTATATATATATATATATATATATATATATATATATATATATTGTATATATATTATATATATATATATTGTATATATTATATATATATATATATGTGTGTGTGTGTGTGTGTGTGTGTGTGTGTGTGTGTGTGTGTGTGTGTGTGTGAGTGAGTGTGCATGTGTGTGTGTGTGTGTGTGTGTGTGTGTGTGTGTGTGTGTGTGTGTGTGTGTGTGTGTGTGTGTGTGTGTGTGTGTGTGTGTGTGCACATATATACACATATATATATACATATACATACATATATATATGTATATATATATGATATATATAAATATATATAATGCAGCAAGACAGATGTATAAAGACATAAGACAAAATAAATGAATAAATTAAAATGGCATTACACTCTTTAAGATTCTCTTTATGAATGTTTTATCTCTTTTCATTTCGATATAAACTTGAGTATATTGGTAGAAAAGGAATTTTATCTTAGAGCTTTGGCATGTAAGTGTCAAAATATGATAAAAAATCTTAAACGAAACTGAAATGTTCAAGGAAGATTGCTGGTCGGATAAGAATAAACATTTCGTTTTACCAGTTATAACTTTTATTTTAAATTTCCCGTGGATATTCTAGCAACTCTTGTATCTGTTGCTACTATCGATTAAATGGAGCAATGAAAAAAGGAAAAAAGGAAACACTAGCGAGCAGAAATAAAATACAAAGAAATATATATCTCAAGAGGCCAGTGAAAACAGAGGCAATTATACCATTGGACACGCTAAACCACTGACTTGAAACTCCCACGATAGCATTTACATTCAAAAGATGGCTCCGGTGTGTTGCCACTGCTGGAAAGCTTAAGAACAACCATGCTTATGAGTTGCTGTTTGGCAGCCAGGCCTTTTCATGCACGTTTTCACGGATCGGTTGTAGTTATTTAAATCTTAATTGGTAAAAAGAAAGGACGTTTTAAGATACTCTTTAATAATTTAGTCTATTTAGTTTATTTTTTTCTGCATATTGTGGTTTTTGATGTCCGGTTAGCTACAAGGAAAATATTATGGTGAAATTCAGACAAAGACTATGACAGATATCATTTGGAAAAATCCCAAGTAGGATCTGAACCCCAAAAAACAATGTCTGACCCATGATTCAGGGTGCCACGCCTGCGCCTAGGTTTAAAGAGCCCAGTCAATTAATATAAACGAAATAAGTATTTCGAAATCAATATATCTATTTATATGTAAATATATATGTATACATGTATGTGTGTATAAACATAGGCTTACCATATGCCTCGCATATAGTAAGATAGATAGATAGATAGATAGATAGATAGATAGATAGAGAGAGAGAGAGAGAGAGAGATCTTTCAGAACTCCAAAAACTCTATGCTAACTTGCAAGAATAATTAATATTGTCTATTTATTCACTAATTACCTCATTTATTTTTTTAACATATCATTACAGCGCATAATACATGGTTAATAGAAACAGGTTAACAGGTTACTTATTCCCCAACATCTGTTCCTTTTAAATTTCTTTGTCTTTAATGTTCAGATCCTGTTAGATAAACTATCTTTAAAACACTGTCGCACCCATTGGTTTGTTTTATTCGGTTTTGCTCTCGACCTCCCTTTCTCTCCAGAATTAATGCTTATTAATAACTTCAGTGATGTAATTATGAAACTGATATATTGTGTATCATTGAAATATGTATCAAATTCTTATACAGAAGATAAAAACTACTACTAATACACACTTACACACAAAGAAAGAAAGACAGAATGGACAAGAGAGCTGAATGAAAGACCATCTCAAAATACATCAGTCTGCCTTAAATATTTCAACAGAAAATGAATTTAATGCTACTAAAAGACCCGTTTTCTATGACAGCTTGAATTGGTTGATTCTTTACATTTATCTTGAATTATATATATATAGCCTGAAATTTATTCAGATCATTAATGTCTAAAGATCTAGTCTGATTTAAAGGTAAATGTACTGAACAAGAAAAAGTTTTCTTGAATTTTTAACCAATGATATTATTTGATGTTATTAAAACCAATATTCTATAATGGTTCTATAGATAAGCAGGTCTTACACCCAACGTCAGCGGGCTTATTTACTGCCCCCTTTAGATTTTAGAGAGTTTCGTTACATACAGATGGCTCCACGTGTGTTCAGCAGCAAGGAGTCTATCAGGTGAGCCTAGTGACCGATCCTGATTTCCCCTTTCCTTGAATTGGCGGGAAAATGCTACTAAGATTGACATTGTTATCATTCTTATTGATGTTATGATTGCTAAATTGTTATTAAAGTATTAATAACATCAAAGACAATAAAATAATAGAAGTGAGTCTTTCAAGAAATGAAGGAAAAGGGTAAATAGATGAGATAGGTAAGACTAAAAGCCGACTTCTCGATGACTAAGTACTGGTAGTGCCATCTATGTGTTAAGACATCATAAAAAAAAAAATTTTTATTACAATGGGCATGGCATTGTAGTCTTGCCACCCGTGATCATTGGGTTAAGAGATAAGTTGACGAAATAAGATTTTATTCCACTATTTTTATTCTGTTTAAGTCATAAGCCTATTATCACGCATACGATGTAGCATATTGGGTAGGCAAATGTATAGACACTTTGTATATAAAAGAATAAAATATTTAGATTTACACAAAATAGTGTGTGTATATATATTTACACATATACATATATATACATATATGTGTGTGTGTGTGTGTGGGTGTGTATATATATATGTATACATATATATATATATATATATATATATATATATATATATATATATATATATATAAATTATAAATATATATATATATATATATATATATATATATATATATATATATATATATATATATATATGTGTGTGTGTGTGTGTGTGTGTGTGTGTGTGTGTGTGTGTGTGTGTGTGTGTGTATTGTTAAATGGTTCGCGCTCTTAATTAGGTGAGACGGCTATGTGTTGGATAAAAGGTAACATTGTTATCAAGGATGGAGATAAACACAAATAATTAAGCTTATATTTCCGTAGCGAGCATTGTGGGGAGTCTTCCAGAAAAAAAGGACATATATGATAGCGAAAACAATCGCATTTCATATCTGCAGACCTATTAGAAAGTAGCCTTGCAGAGCAGATTGTTGCAGTAAAAATAAATTATTTATTAATCCTTAAAGAATACGCAATTACTAACATGAATAGTTATTTCATTAGAAATAGTCATATGCTTGTAATTGTATTTTTTCAGCACATGTAGTTATCTTAATTATGTCAAGACTTCTAGAAATT